AATAAAAATTTGCATTGTATATAAAATAACTTTTTGTTCAGAAAACACAAATTTGTTGCAATACTAATGACCCTGAACAAAGAGTCAAAAGCTAAATAAAAAAAAAACTAATACATTCAACACACACATTCCCAGAAATACACAACACGACAAAAAACCATCCATATACACAAATAAACAAAACCAAAACCAAAGCAATCTCTCAATCACCACCAGCGCCCAAAAGGACCTTGAGAGGACGCGACAGCTGACTCAGATAGGTGCGTATCATCCACATTGGAATGGTAACGAACAGAAAGGGCATGCTCATCGCACCATCAATCTTTATTCGACCTACACCACACCCCCGCAGCGATCTCGCCCGCTCGCTTGCTCGCTCGTACGACCCGCGACACGAGGCACACCATGCACACTTTGGGGAGTGGAGTTTCGTCAGTGTGAGTGAGTGAGTGTGAGAGTCGACGTAAGGGCGGGAGTGGGAGGTAAGGGGGGGCAGTAAGGGTGGGAGTGAAAGTGGGCAGAGAGATAGAGATAGATATGGGCAGATAGATAGAGAGACTCAAAGATCGAGCTTCTGACATACAGAACGAAGGGGGGGAGGGAGGGGAGGGAGGGAGGGAGGGAGGGAGGGAGAGGGAGGGAGAGGGAGGGAGAGGGAGGGAGAGGGAGAGAGAGAGAGAGAGAGAGAGAGAGAGAGAGAGAGAGAGAGAGAGAGAGAGAGAGAGAGAGAGAGAGAGAGAGAGAGAGAGAGATCGGGTGCTAAATGAAATTGGAAAGGCAAAAACAGTAACTGGCAAAAAATCGAAGAAAAGGGAGGCGTATAAAAAAAAGGGACAACGAGAAAGGGGAAAGAAAGAAAAAAAATCATTTAGAGATACAGACAAAAAAAGCAAAGGAGGTTTGACCCTTGCATCACCAACGAGGGGTCATCGTCGCCTTAATCCTCGTATAATCAAGCAGCCTTCACCCCCTCCCCCCTTCCTCCCCCCCCCCTTCCCAGGCCCCATCATCACAAGGACAGTCTCAGAACTCCCAAACCAAATTTCGACCCATTCAACCTCGAAGGCAAAACACCTAAACAAACACAATTTCCAAACACACAAACAAAATCTTCTTTCACCTGACCGGCAAAAAACACTTAATTAAGTCATTACATAACAGCCGCCTTCATCCTTCGTTTTCACAATCACATTAAAGAGGATTCTGTGTCCTGCCTTTCGGAAAAGAAAAATGCTGGGAAGGAAAGGGTTTACGAAATGAAAAAAGATAGAACGATAGAAAGAGATAAAGAGAGAAAGAGAAAGAGTTAGAGAGAAAGAAAGAGTTAGAGAGAAAGAAAGAGAAAGAAAGAGAAAGAGAAAGAGAGAAAGCGAGAGCGAGAGAGAGAGAGAGAGAGAGAGAGAGAGAGAGAGAGAGAGAGAGAGAGAGAGAGAGAGAGAGAGAGAGAGAGAGAGAGAGAGAGAGAGAGAGAGAGAGAGAGAGAGGAGAGGAGAGGGAGGAGAGGAGAGAGAAGGGAGAGAGGAGGGAGGGAGGGAGGGAGAGAGGGAGGAGGGAGAGGGAGAGGAGGGAGAGGGAGAGGGGGAGAGGGAGAGGGAGAGGGAGAGAGAGAGAGAGGAGAGAGAGAGAGAGAGAGAGAGAGAGAGAGAGAGAGAGAGAGAGAGAGAGAGAGAGAGAGAGAGAGAGAGAGAGAGAGAGAGAGAGAGAGAGAGAGAGAGAGAGAGAGAGAGAGAGAGAGAGAGAGAGAGAGAGAGAGGAGAAAGAGAAATAAAAACTCGGTAGCCATGAACTCAGCGGCCAACGCCCTGCATAGCCAACCTTGTCTCACTCTACACAACGCGCATCACTTTCAGATTATTTTTTTCCTAACCTCCCCGTCCCTGTTCCCACTTTCATTCTCATTTCTTGTCTTCGTTTACTGTTTATTCTGCGTTTTTTTTCAATTATCGTCTTTCCCTCTGTTCGCATTTCTTCTTTCTTTTTTGTTTTTGTTCACACTAATCTTAAAGATGATATAATTTGCTTCCGTTTATTCTAACCTCATCTTTTTCATTCATTCCTTCTTTGGAAAGAATAAAAAGGCGTTACTGTACCCCCTTATTCACACATGTTTTTCGATAAGACCCATAAAACTACAGACAACTGATACAAGCTTGATAGCCGACGAAAGAAAGACAGAATACCAAAGGACACAAGACACGGCGACCCCTTCAAAGACACAGTAGGGAAACCCCATACACAGTGAGGATGTGACAGCCACTGCCCAACCTCAGCTGTCCAGTGACGTCACTTCCTGTCATTCTAGCCTGGACGGAAAACGTGAACTCGCCAAGACATCTGTTTGCTCGTGGCACCGCTGACACTGCTAATATCGTTCTATTTGGGTGAATGATGAGCTCTTGCGAGTTCTGAATACCGGCGCCAGGGGGTCTTGTCAGGAAAAAATACATGAATTGAATGGATTTTTTTGTGTGTGTGTGTTTGTGAAATGGCGTGATGACACAATATAAAAACAAATAGACGGCCATCATCCTATTCTCTCATTCCTCCCCTCTTTCTGTGTGCAGGTGTGGTTCTGTGTACGCTCGTGTCTGTGTCTGCACTTGAATATGCGCCTGTGTGCCTTTGTCACTGTTCTTCAATCCTTTCCTCAACTCACTCCCACTTAAGCCTGTAAGTCAATAATTCCTCCCTCCCCGCGACTCACCCGACCAGGCCAGTATTCACAACCAAGCCGCCATCAGTGATAGCCGTCAAGCCATACCAAGACCTCGTCATCACTAGCAAGCAAGCAAGAAAGCAGTAAGTGCGTCTCGCCAACGCACTTCATGACGTCTTGCGGGGAGACAACGTCGTTCCTGGAGCGGGGATGGGGGTGGGGGGAAAGGTGGGGGGCAGGAGCGTCATCTGGCATGTATGTACTCGACCGAGCGGCGTCTTGCGCGGGTTCAACAAAACCTCCACCTACACACACTGACGGATTCTCTCATCAACCAATAGACAGACGGTAAGACACCAAGGGGGTATTAGTGGGGGCGCAGGGGCGGATGGGCGGAGGGGCGGAGGGGCGGAGGGGCAGAGAGAGAGATAGAGAGAGAGGAGGGGTAGGAGGCAGGGAATCGCTAATGATAGATGCAGATGGAAACGATAAAAAAGAAGGCATTAATTCGCGAGAGATCAAGCCAGATTAACAGGCAAAGGCATATCTTTTATCAATTACCCACTGTCTTTTCGTCTATCCAGTTTCGCCTCAGTCTACACAGCAACGCCGCCTCTGCCGCTGCCGCCACAGACAAGCTTGTAATTAACTCAAATGCTTAAAAAAATGTGTGGCCACCAGATGGCCCGTCCATCTAATACATTCAGGAAACGCGAGGAATAATTCCATCTTCATTTCTTTTCCCCTTTTTTAAGAAATTCTGGGAGAAGATGCGTGCGCTGTGCTACTTATTGTGCGGTTTAGTTAACATCAGTCACCTGCAAGAGAACTTGACACGGTTCAATTAACTCTGTTCATTTTCCCAGCTAGACAATAAAAACTAACGATGTAAGCTTTGCAATATACTTGTACATGTGTAGTGCTTGCAGGTAATATCTCACTGCTCAGCTAAAACATCAAGCACCGCTGCTTCTGCTCTTACGAGTCAAATCCAACAGATATTAAAACATGTAACTACCAGCTGACCATGCGGCTTACCCCAACGTCTATACTTCTATAGACTTTGCCTTACCTCACCCTGGCCGTCTTATATTACTTCAAACCACTTCAATCAGACAACCGAAGTCACACCACTACCAATACACTCATTGAAGAAGTGTACCGCCCATCTACCTCTATCAACACCTGATGGAAGATTGACAGACAGAAACAGATTGGGCACGACCGGACTTCGCACCGCCAGACTTCAAAGATGGTTTGCCGCTATTGAAAGCCCGCTACCTCCCCCCCCTCCTATCCTGCCCCACCTTCACCCATTTCCTCTTTAGTTTCTTCGGTTTGGTCAAGAACAATTTCAAGAACACCACGAAAACCACACTTGTAATACCATGGAACTGCGACAATATCAATCTTAAATCCAATCAATCCTAATCTTTCAACATACCCATGACAATCATATTAGTTATTCCGTCAATTAAACAAACTAAGAGGTTTGCCTTAAGTCTTTACTGATAGCTGTCATATCCTGCCTCATGACAACCGGATTTAGGAAATCGTCCGCTGTCAAGTTTTATCTTAACACTTGATAACGACCCGATACAAAGAAAAGCCCCAACCCTTATTATGGCCTTATCGAGTGTCTGTATCACACACGCCGCCGTCCTGAGTAAAAGTGATCACTGATAACGCCCCGGGACTTAAAAAGATCGGGGCGGAGAGACGGGATTCCTCGAAACACATCACTAGACAACCCCACCACATGCAAATAAAACTATCGCCTCCTTTTACACGCAATATAAGCTAAATCATAAATAACACTGCATGACAATCACGACTCAACAACCCCTCAACAAGTGGCAAGTGGCAGAGACGACACCGCCCCCTCCCCCCTTGGCAACCGGGGGAGACAGGGGAGGGGGATGGCGAGGGAGGGTGAGGAAAACTGGAGATTAGATCCCGTTCACCGGATACACCGAAACCCGATTTCACTCGCCAACAAGGTAAGGCACATGTCCGTTTCACAACACGGCGTACAGGATTTTCTTTCACGGTCACTACTGGGGGAGGGCAGGCCAGAAGCGAGACGTCTGTGGGGGGGGGGGGAATAACAAGCTTGAATGAACAAACAGGTGGACTTTTTTCGGTTATGACGTTCAAGAGAAGCAGAATCAGCAACCTGTGATCAAAATTTGTTTGTTATCCAGGTAATACAACATGAATTTATTGAACATAACTAAACATTCCATGCCCTCTTCACATGAGAATCCACACTTATTAAAGTTCGGCAAATAATTACAAATGAACAATAAAAAAACTGAGATTCTCAGACCATCTCGGCACTTACCACTAACGAGGGAGCCTAATGTATGCTCCCTTAAAAGAAATTGTCTGAAGATACTGTTTACACAGCTGGCTTGTGACACACTTTTCGCAGACACTCACTCGGTATTCAAGTACGAAGACACGGGCCTTTCCTCTCCCGTCGGCACAAAGACTAGACACAATGTAAGAGGAGCGAGTAAGAGACAAGAGACGGGGAATGAGATTGAGAGAGGGAGATGCGAGTCAGTCGCGTTGGGAGCGAATCACCAACAGCTGCGCCGCCGACAACACACCAACGCTCGCCGGGAGACACTCGCACACTAAACACAAGCGTTGGCTGGGTCACGGAGCGGACCACACGGCTGCCACGAGACTGCGGCGAGGCCAAGGCGCTGACTGGCATGGGTAGTGGCACGTCCCACTCACACACACACACACACAAGCGCACGCACCCACTCGCTCCTAAGAACGCACACATGCGCATACAGTGGTATATGCAAGTGTACACACGAGCGCACACACACGCACACGCACGCGCGCGCACACACACACACACACACACACACACACACACACACACACACACACTCACTCACTCACTCACTCACTCACTCACTCACTCACTCACTCACTCACACACTCACACACTCACACACTCACACACACACACACACACACACACACACACACACACACACACACACACACACACACACACACACACTCACACACACACACACACACACACTCACTCACTCACTCACTCACTCACTCACTCACTCACTCACTCACTCTCTCTCTCTCCCCACTCATATCCCCTTTCCCTTCGCACAAGCACAGATGCGCTATCTTGCCGCACATTAGAGTGGACGCTTTGTAAAGGGGCGGATCGGGAGTCACTTATTACTCATCTACTTCTTTGTTTCTGCTCGTGATTATCAATTCGTTAGTCTTTCAGTCTTTACTTATCAACGGTCTGTCTTTATTTCTCTTTTCACTCTGGCTCTGGGTTTCTCTCTCTCTCTCTCTCTCTCTCTCTCTCTCTCTCTCTCTCTCTCTCTCTCTCTCTCTCTCTCTCTCTCTCTCTCTCTCTCTCTCTCTCTCTCTGACCTCAAAAGACAAAACGACAAAGAGGCGTGAAGGCATGCGAGAGTTAAGAAGCGAAGTGGTAACATGGTGTGTCTACGAGACCTCCCACTCCTATCGACCACCCCCTCCCACCCCCCTTCCACCCCACTCACCCTTGCTTGCACCTCCAACTCATCTTCTGCTGCACCTGCCTCAATGCCTCCTCCTACGCACTCTGCGTCCACGCAGCACAACAAAGGCCGAATAGTAATTTTACCGCACACATACACAAACACAAGAATGCACGCACACGCGCGCGCGCACGCGCACACACACACACACACACACACACACACACACACACACACACACACACACACACACACACACACACACACACACACGTCAACGAGAGGACACCGTAATGAAAAAGTGGTATGTCTGTCACACCACCTTATTCCCCCCCAGGGGGGAGTACCTATGAAATTCTTGTTTATGTACATGTCGAATATCTTCACATGGACAACGGGTCGAGGAAGACAGAATAATGGAATCAACTTTCTTCATCTGATTCTTGGCTCAGTTTTTAATAACTGGATCGCATTCAATCTAAATATTTTTTTCCAATGAAGAGATAATACATTTTTCTTCCATCTAAGTGGACACATTACCTCAAAATACACTCACCTCTCACAAATAATCAAAATTTCGATGTATAATCCCCTGAGGCACATCATGATTACATATTCTTTCATAAACCAATTAGAAAGTCCACTGGACGGTAATACTTAAAAAAAAATTACTTTGAAGAAAAAGAAGAAAAACGAAATGAGAATATTCGGAGCTTTTCACTTCAAAGATTTATGTGGAGGAGAGATTAGAGTAAAATGATGAAAAGAAGGAGGGAGGGGAAAGGACACAAGACACAGATCAAGGAAGAGAGGGGGAGGAAGAAAGGGAGAAGACAGATAAACGGATAAAGAAGGAGGAAGGGTAGGAATGAGAGAAAATAAAATAGACAAATCGACATATTACCTCAAGGTTAATATGTAGGGGTGAAGAAGCACGAATAAGGAAACGTAAGACCAGTCGAGGGAAGGAGGAAGGAAGATGATAAGAGAGATGAGAGAGGGACGGAAAAAAAGGGGCGATACGAAGCATGCGAGTGTGGGTGTCTGTGCGGCGAAATCCCTCCTCCTCCACCCCCTCCCCCTCCCTTTCATACACATCTGTGGTTAAAGCAGAGATGCTACCTGTCACCGCCTGCTCCTAATCACCAACTCATGTCACACGCTCTGCACCTGTGTCCACCGCGAGAATCAAATGTACATGATAATAAAAAAGAATCACAAATCAGACTTAATCCACAAATTACAGCCTCACCCCCCCCCCCCTAAAAAAATAACTAATCCCAAATGACATTTTTTTTTCTCTCCCCAGGCATGAAAACCCGAGGGTGTCTAAACCTCCTCCTCCCCCCTACACCCTTCTCGTCGACCCTCCCACCCTAGCCCCCCCTTCCTCCTCCCTCTCCCCACCTGCCTCCGGTGAAGATGATGAGGCGAGACACGCGACGTCAAGATCATAACAGTATCGGTGTACCTGAAGTCCCTCTACGACCTCCGTCTCTCCCCCTGCCCCCCTCCCCCTAATTCTCTAATTCTCTCTCACTCTCTCTCTCTCTTTGTCTTTCTATCTCCCTCTTTTTTTCTTTCTATCTCCCTCTTTTTTCTCTCTCTCTTTGCAGATCTTTCCCTTTTATCCCTTTCGCTCCCCCCCTCATTCTCTCTCATTCTCCCTCTCCCTCTGTCTGACGTAGGCATCTTGACATCTTTCCATCTTTTCACCCCCCCCCCCCCGGTTATTTATCTTGGGCCTCTCCCTAACACCTCTTCCCCCGGACGGTAAGCATCAGAGGGATGTCATCATCACTAAGCCCGATTGTAAAGCTGCGTTTGTTCGAGAAGTGCACTTAAAGGGGGGGGGGGGTCATTTTGGAAGGTAATGCACAGTAAACCTTCTGACACGCAAATAACCGCTCGCACTTGACTCCGTGAAGCTGCTATGACTCCTCCTTCTACACCGGAAGTGACACATCCGGGGACGATGCCTACGTGTCTTATCTTTCTATTATGCCATTGCTATTTATATGTGATCATGTGTTGGTGTTCGTGTGTGTGTTCGTGTGTGTGTGTTGGTGTTCGTGTGTGTGTTGGTGTTCGTGTGTGTGTTCGTGTGTGTGTTCGTATGTGTGTTCGTATGTGTGTTCGAGTGTGTGTGTGTGTGTGTGTGTGTGTGTGTGTGTGTGTGTGTGTGTGTGTGTGTGTGTGTGTGTGTGTGTGTGTGTGTATGTGTGTGTATGTGTGTGTATGTGTGTGTATGTGTGTGTGTGTATGTGTGTGTGTGTGTATGTGTGTGTGTGTTCGAGTGTGTGTGTGTTCGAGTGTGTGTGTGTTCGAGTGTGTGTGTGTGTGTTCGAGTGTGTGTGTGTGTGTGTGTGTGTGTGTGTGTGTGTGTGTGTGTGTGTGTGTGTGTGTGTGTGTGTGTGTGTGTGTGTGTGTGTGTGTAGGGTAGTATTTGATGGTTGCGTGGGTGTTTGCGTGTCTATTTGTTTATATGTCTATTTGCGCGTTTCTGTCAAGAAAATACTGTACAGTTCATCACATTGATTCACCATAATAGCATTATTAATACCCCTATTTACTATCCAAGAAAACAAAATGACGCTTGAGACTGCAGAATTACACTCGGATACATTCAAAATCATACCAAGTACACAATTAAAAGCAAACTTGAGGCACATTACAGTGTAATCTCTTACTAATCTCTACGCACAGCACACCTGGTCATGGGTGATATACACTCATGCGCGCGCACATGCAAATACGCACGAGCACCGTTATACAGACAAGAAAGTGCATAATCGAAAAGGAAGAAACACGGAGAAACAGAGGTAGACAGACAGACATGAAAACATAGACACAAACAAACAGGCAGTAAGGTTGGTAGGCAGACAGGCAGGCAGGCAGGCAGGCAGGCAGGCAGACAGACAGACACAGACACAGACACAGACACACACACACACTCACATACATATACAGACTCACATATACACATTCACATACAAACTTTCTCTCTCTCACACACGCGCGCCCGCGCGCGCACACAAAAAAATCGCAGCGTCCAAACGTCCCCCACCTGTGCCGGTGCAGGCAAGTTCCTCCACATCTCAACGCACAACCACCGGTGTACCTGATCGCCTAACTGTCATCTTAAAAATGAGACGATGCCGATCCCACTTTTTACTGCCAATTCCTTTTCCTCTTTCTCTGCCTCTGCCCTTGGCCCTTAGCCCTTGGCCCTTGGACCCTCCCCTTGAACTCAATCTGGGCCATTACTAAGCTGGAGGAAAATCTATTTAAAAAGGAGAAACGAGAAGCGCATTGAACAAGATTGCGACACTTTCCGCTACGAAAGAATCGAGAATCTGATCCATCCCTTGTGGAATGTGAGCGGCTCCCGCACCGCCGCAGTCCTACCCAGCTCGCTAGCTCGCACTGGACTTTTCCCTTCCCTTCCCTTCCCTGTTCTTTTTCTTTCTTTCATATGATTAATGCGCTTTTTTTTCTCTCTCCCCTCTGTTTTCAATCGTTTCCATCCCTGACGTTTATCTGCCTTTTCTTTTAACACCTAGCATTTTCTCATGCGGCCAAACTTCTCTCACCTGGATTGCGGTTGGCCGGTGGACCATTAGAGTGAGAGACACCTGGGAAAATCCCTCCTCTGACCCTTCCCCTCATAAACCTATCACACTTTACACTTTACCAAGCCTTCCTCTCCTTCTTAAATGATGATGACGGATTCACTTTGCTTCGAGATAGATTCCGCTTTCATCTTTTATTAGCATTTTTGTCCTCTTCTTCCACCTCTCTCTCCTCTCTTCTCGAGATCTAATCCTCCAAGGCTAGTGCAGTGTTTCCTGTACCGCAGCGCCACACGAGAGGCACGTCCGGTCTTATCAGAGCAAGAGGGAGGGGAGTGGATGGAAGAGAGAGGGAGATATAAAAACGGAGAGAGAGAGAGAGAGAGAGAGAGAGAGAGAGAGAGAGAGAGAGAGAGAGAGAGAGAGAGAGAGAGAGAGAGAGAGAGAGAGAGAGAGAGAGAGTGTGTGTGTGTGCGTGAGTGTATTTGTGACGGGTAAAATGGTCAGCATCATAACGGAGCTGACCGAAGTGCGTCTTGATCCATCACCGAGATCCGCTGCGGTGTCTCGGCATCCTGTATAAGTGCCGGTGCGACGTGCCCGGCGAGCCACGCGACTGAACAAGAAGTCACC